ACACATCTACCATGTTGTCAATGTCACGTACAGGGAAAGTCTTATCGCCGGTCCCCCTCCCCGTCCACACTCGAAACCATCGCTAGTCTTCCCATTCACGCGGATCGGTGTCCGTTCATCATTACACCTAAAAACGTGTGTTGTGACAGAAAAACGCTACAGGTGTGTTGTTGTTTTTTAACTTCAGGTGCTAGAAAGGTGCGTTACCCTTTCTTTAGTGATTGTATAGGTGCGTTCTGCAGTGAAACACATGTAAAGACGAGCCTGTGTGTGCCTTATTATCCACTGCCTCCGTGGGGAAACCGCTTAAGATGAAAGAGGATGGAGGTTGTTGTACGTGACTTCTCCCTGTATATCTTTACCTGCACACCTGAGTAAATGTACATGCACCGCGAATAGGACATGTGTGAGCTATCTTTTCCCAATACCCTCGCTTACAATTGCTACAACTCAAATACAATCACGCTGAATGTCGTACCTTCAATTAAAAGTCCCTCTCTTAAAGGGGAGCTTGGCTCTAGCCAATTGCGGTCCTAAGAGTCAAGTCACGTGACTATTCTATCCGCTAACTGGTGTACGTGTTTATCAATCACTGTATGAGTTAATGAGTGAGATGGGTTTAACGCCGCTTTGACATTATTCCAGGTGTAACACGTAGCGTCTGCTTAATGTGGGAGGAAAGCCCTAAGTGATTCAGGTCTCGCATGTCTATCACTTTGGTCAAGCCCACGAGCACGGGTATGGTGTCGACAAACCTAGCAACACAATCGGGGCGAACCGGGATTCGAAACTAGGTTTCTTTATTGCCCAAGGGACGCAACTCTGCATAGCGAATTGCGGCGCCTTAGACAACCGGTAGTGATTATCCTGATTACATGGAGACAATGTCTGTGGTTAAGAATTTCACAAACTTGACTGAGACTTAATGGACATTTGACCGCGAGTGCCTTAAAATTCATCGCGACATCGGTGTCAAAACAGTTAAGCACATATTCAAATTTCCCCAAGTCTAAAAGTTTCCAAATTTTGAAGCATATCACAGCATTATAGGACAACGTGACATATCGCTTTTGACCTGGAAAGTTAACATACATGTAGAGCGTGAACAATCTCGGTGACATCGACAGGTACTCGGTCTTGCCTTACCCCCGGGGACAAGGCCTTTTTCACAGGTTACTAATGAGTCACTAATGCCCCATTGGTCACGCCGACCACCGCGTTTTTATCACTGTCTGCACGTGGCACTTGCTTTTATCGAGCATTGTCACTTTCCCTGGGCCACGTGCAACAGGTGCTCGCGCAGACTCGCCTTTGTTATATCGGGTATTCCCGGAATATTCCGTCAGACATAAAAGATCGAGAAATATTGTTTGCGTGACAGATGAACAGGTGGTCAATGTGTGCAATGAATGTACGTGCGTGTGCATGTGCATGCGCGTTCGTGTGAGATGGACATTAAAGGGTTAATTTTCGCGTGTACAAATCAAAGTACTTTAACATGCTTCAAGCTTTCTGGGCTGGGTCGAGAGTAATTCCTTGGGGCTGTGACACATCAGTCTGTCAAATGACTTGCTTCTTGTCAGCCAATAGGCGCCTGGACTCATAATAATGGCTTAATGTTGTCACAATTAGGTTATTTTAACAAAGATCAACCTCTGTGTTATTAGATTAGTTGTTGCTTGTTACGAGAAGACGATTCTTCAAATTAAAAACTGTTTTATGACTAACAACTAAATTACACATACCAGCTTATAGAGACTGGTATTAGGAACACATATACACTTCATTTTCATATTAAACTCGTTTATCATTCAATGTCAGTTTTAGGCATAACATGGGCGTCATGGCAGCAAGGACGACATAGTTGATGATGGTCCATAGGAGAGGTCAAATCTAGAACGAACCGGTTTAATACTGGAACAAGCCAGATGCCTGCATGACAAACTATCTACAGTGGGTGACGTAAACTACGGACTGTGTATATGATAATTTATCATGGGAGAATACGAAAATACATGGGAATGTCTTTTGTCTGAGGTAATAAATGTCATCAAAAGTGAATTCATAACATCATGGCGATTAAGATGTTGTTCTTTCCACTTCTCAATAACACAACGGATTTCCATGGAAGGCGAAATATTCTTAATGATTATATAATTATTTAATAAATTGTGTAAAAAGCATGGAGCCTTTTGAAAGTGCAAAGCTAATTGTCATGTGTCTATTTCGATATTGTGTTTTTGTTTTCATGAACCGGTTTGCTGAGTTTGAGGAAAGAACACCTGCTAAGAATACAAAATGCAAGATGAGTTTGGGCATTGTGTTCAGGCATTGTCCATAAACGAAATAATACGTGAACCGTGTTTTAATAGTTATAAATGAAGCATATCATTACAGACATGTTGGAGATAGAAATTTAAGAATGTGTGCCACTTTTGATGTTTAGCTCTGGACACTGCGTGACTAATACGTCCTGCGCGACAGTTGGGGTATTTAAAAATTTTAATGTTGACACAATCGATGCAACAACACATGTGCTCAATTCCCCCCACCCACCCCGTTCCTATGGTAATGTGTCGATGCCATATTGTCTGGATAATATGCAGTCATCGTGACGTGGCACAACACACCATATGCAGGCGCACGTGCTGCACACGACTCCAGACAATTGCACCATTAGGTATGGCTGTGATTGATAATGAGATCATCTAAAATGCGAAATTGAGAGAATTAGATTTCTGGATTATTCCCGCTCAGACTCTGAATAGAGAGACATTTTGCCCAAGTACTATAAAGAATAATAATGGCTGAATATTAAATTAGAATAATATTTCGAAAATAAAATAAACTTTGGAACAATAAAATCACGATTATTTATGGAACCCATTGGAAATATGCCAACCAACTCATGGTAATGAAACATCGTGATTATTGGAGGTGTGTGTTACATAGCCAGACGTTTATGTCCTCCGACAGTTAAGTGGTAAGGTCTTAAAGTCTCTTTGAGACTCCTAGTCGTATTCACAACCAACATGTATGACAACATTCACCAATCATTACCGCCCATTCTACAACAAAGAAACAAGCTTCAAACACATCTGCTAATATTACGTCAAGAGCTTGTACTGTAGGGACGGGTAGCTCTTGTACGCCTTCTTAACTTATATCTGTGTTTGAATGTGTGTCAAGTACTTGAGAAAACAGCGCCAAATGACCCGCATTGAAAGAGCATTCAATGAGCTTCCATATTGTTCTCCCAATGCTTTGAGATATCCTTGCCCCATGTCCATGCCCTATCATCAAGGCTTTACCACTCAAACCAAAACAGCTTACGACAGTTTAACCCTGGCGAGGCTTTAGTATTACATCGGGGAAAACACTGAAGGCTTTGGAGGACTCCAATCCCCCCCATCCCCCGGGGCTGGACTTTCAGCGTCTGGACAACGTGCTGTGTGATGTTCGTTAGAACAAAGCGTGAAGTGTGTCTCTGACAACGTCATGTTGTTACACCTATAGTGTAGTGTTAACGCATGTTTTACTGCTTCACGACCAGGCCATGTTGAGCATGGTTACAGAACATATTGTATCTGGGTCACGTTCGGTTACATTTCTGATTACTGTGTAGAGTGTATTGATGGTGTGTGGACGTTTTGAGTTTCAGAATATATGTAGGTCAGGTTCAACTACGACATGACTGTAACTGTACATTGTGTATTGATGGTGTACTGACGTTTTTTTACGTTACAGAGTAAGGTGAAGGTGAAATGGGGTTTACGTCGCGTCAAATATTATTGCACTTATATAGCGACCTGCACGCACGTGTGTGTGGCTGCTTGTACTAGTCTGGACTAATGTAGGTGTATAGTGCTAGCACAATGAGATACCATGCCGCAGTTTAACATGAATACCCCACTCAGACACAGTATACTGACTCCGAGCCGACCAGTCCTTGTTTTACCCCCTTAATGCCAAGCGCCAGGCAGGGTAACAACAAGAACCATCTTTTAAAGTCTTTGGGTATAACGCGGTCGGGGATCGAACCCCGGGCCTTCCGCTATCCGGCGGATGCTCTACCACTAGACCACGGAGGCGGTCGTTTCAGAATAAGGTGTCTAGGGGATGATGTACTGACTTTATGTCCAATATAGTCAACGAATTGATATAAATTCGCGAACACGCTGGTATATGTACTGAAAACATAGAAATCATCGTTCAATACACTAACGTGCTGAATCTATGCATGACTGTTTTAATACTACTTCATTCCATCCCCGATGGCGAGTTCCTGGATTGTAGCTGTGTTGTTTGGAGTCTTGGCATGTGTGTACTCCCCTGAACCCCCTCAGGGAATGTCAGCCATGATTCTTGAGAGGCCAAAAATCCGAAGTGGACAGTCATCACACTTGAGCCAACTCGGACAGCGAGTCCACGTACGTCAAGGTGTTTAACCATCACCACGAAGCCAACAGTCCATAACCCATAAGTTTCCCCTGGGTGTTGATTATAAAACAGTATCGTTGCGGTGTTGACTTATTCCGAGACAACTACTTCTGTAGGTACAGTGAAACCTCGCTGGCAATGAAAGCTCCTCTAACAATGCTCTTAAACAGACAAGAGCCAAGAGTAAAAGTCCTTAAATGTCCTTAAATGTCCATCATTGGTATCTGGGACAACGCATTGAATCGTGTACTGTTGTTTACTTAACAGGTTCGGGATAATGAGGTGTCGGTGCTTCTTTTGAGAAGAAAGCCAAAACAATTTGTTTCAAAAGGACTATGTATCATTTCAAAAAACAAAAATCCGAACACGTCATTAATGTTTTGGAGCCCCAAACATGCTTCCTTTTTCCGATCCGTCTACATATAGACTGTGCAGCAGAAACAAGTTCGTCTAGTCATACATCGTCTGTGCAGGCAGACTGCGGACAACATCTTTAATCTGCCGCCATCATACTTCCGGTAATGAAATGAATTGAATGGTTGTATGGGAAGTAGCCTTACCTTGTACTGTTCGAACACTGCGAGTGCGCGTGCGTAGCCTTCCTTGGAATACACACATATCGCCGACAGAAGTTCAAAGATCTGTTTCTTCACTGAAATGTCGCCCGTATCCAAACCTGCAACAGAGTGTCAATATTGATCAAACAGTTAATCACATACAGAGGTTGTAGAGTCGAAGGGGGGTAGCGGCGTGTTGAGGGGACAGAGAAGGGCGAGAGGGGAGCATTTAGTCGTCAGGTTCTCTGTTGACTTGTTGACATTGCCAATAAGGGCAACCAACGACAAATACTAGCAATTAATTCGTCCACAGCCTGAGTTTAATCAGTATACGCCTTGGTTCGACGCCATATCATCTCGCATCAGCCTGCGCAAAAAGGATTGTTTTTCGGGAATGTGTTACTAATTTTATTAATTAATCCCTCATCAACGTCTACAACATGCCACTTCATTAGGACGAGCGTAAATAACGTAAACCTTGGTTGATGGCAGTATTATCTCAAATCCACCACTGGCAAGAAAAAATAATGTGAGGTCGTTTTTCTGTCATTTTGTCAGGCAACACACAAACAAGTATTTAGTTATGCAAATTGCATCAGTGGCAGCTAAAAGGGTAGGACATGCCTACCCGTGACCGATTTTTCTTATTGAGGTTATATATTTAAGAAAATGACTTGATTACCCCTAAAGTCATATGCTATTTCTTTATATTTCTTTTCAAAATCAGCAACCAATGCTTGTCGTAAGAGGCGACTAATCGGGTGGTCACGCACGCTGACATGGTTGATGCATGTCATCGATCCCAATTGCGTGGATCGATGCTCATGATGTCAATCACTGGATTGTCTGGTTCAGACTCGATTATTTACAGACCGCGAGTCATATAGCTGGAATATTGCTGATTGCGGCGTTAAACAACAAACAAACCAAACCAAATCTTATCGAAATCAATTGTTGTAACAACTTAAAATAATGAACACAAAAATTTTAATATGAATTATAACTCCGTATACGGTGTGTCCTTTTCGCCATCCAAACACCTTCCTGAACCGCTACTGGTAGTTACCAGATCATGCTTTGGGCGTGATTTCCGTGAGAATACTGTAGAAGCGCTAGTCCTTAGTACCATACACAGCTCCCCCGATTTCAATATCCATGTTTGTGAACTAGCCCCCATTTTCTTTATTGAATAGAGATATGGTTTGCCTTGTTGCTTCGCGTCAATGACCTGTGACAGTAAGATTTACATTAACAACTACACGGAGACTAGTTATTTCTGTGTCCGGTTGAATGTCCGCGTGGTCATCATGCGCCCCTTTGTGGTTTATCGCCCTGAGATCAGCTGACCACAATGGCACGTGCAGAGGTGACCCTTTTCATGTCGCCGCCGCATCTGTCCGTACTGTCATCTCGGACTGACCGGACACTGGCGATCATCCGAGAATGTCACCTCGAAACATAGGGCCTGGCTCTGCCAAGACAAACCCAGCTCATATCTTTGTATTTGCTTAAACATACACTTCCACGACATCAATGGTGAACCCGTGGTGCATTTAGGTGTATTACTATCCAAAACACCCAACCAGGTTTGACACCTTATTCTTGAATTAGTCATTTACAAAATATCATTATTCCCTATTTTTAAAGTTTTAACTAGACTAGCGATTCTTACATCACGTCCTATATCTGTTCTGATGGGCGATGGTATTGAAGAAATTTAGTCCAATGATCTTCCGTGTTTATACAGACGTGGGAATTTTGTTTGCTGTTTTTTTCCACAACAGAGCTGCCTCATTGTTGTATAGATCTGTGTGTTACGGAGATGGGGACGAGTCGGTGTGACACAGGAATTAGACTTCGGTTGGTAATCGATCGATGGATGGGCTCACGCAGCACAAAGAATACAAACAGCAGTCTCTGATTCATCATGCAGCAGGCAAACGTCAGTCAACTTTATAATATTGCCCATGTATGGTAACACTGCCAACGTGTTCGTTGTTGTTAATGTCTGAGGACGTTGTCTTTTGTTTCCGAGTACAGTAAACTACGGTTATAACGAACTCAAAGGGACTACTAATTTTAGTTCGTTATAACCGTAGTTCGTTATAAGTACATAAACAGCATGACTACAGCAAGTAGTCGGGACCAAAAAGTAAGTTCGTTATATCCGTCAGTTCGTTATAAGCGTGTTCGTTATAACCGTAGTTTACTGTACGTGTCTCTTAACTTCAGAGTGCGTTGTCTTTAACATCTTAATATACATCACCGCATGTGTTAGATATAAATATCCCATGAGTATTTTCCAGACTAATTCCAATTATCCAGGGTATAATATCCCCATTATGTTGAATAAAAAAACCAAGGCCCATTCGCCACGTAACGTCGTTTGGAGCACGATTCGAATGAAACGAAGCTAAAAATAGCCATCCAATCAAATTACACTCGAGAGAAATTCTGTGCGACGTTGTTTTCGAAATGGAGACGGTGACGTCACTTCCGTAAAGAGGCTACGGTGGCGAATGGGTACAGGGCTTTGATCATAATAAAAGGGATATATAATACACTGGATATTCGGATATGTCCCCAGAAAGTGTTGGCAATAAAACCAGCACGTGTAAGGACCGACATTACTGAAGTATAACAGCTCGTACGATTTTTAAGTATCACACTGGGGTTTGTCCAAAAATGCCACACCGCTCAATCAAACGCTACGATGGTGTTAGGGTCATGTCACACTTGATGTATATTCAAAATAACAACTTTTTTCAGAGACAATCATGACAAAAATGAATTTAAAGAGAGATACTAAAGGCTATGTTTATACGTGTCTCTTAAAGTCAGACGATGCTCAAGATCAGCATCTGTTGTCGCAGTAGTTTATTGGCTGATGATGGCATAGTGTAGACGTCGGACTACACGAGAGGGGGAGTGGTTATGTGTGTGTGTGGGGGGGGGGGGGGGGGGGGGGGGGGGGGTGACAGTGACTCATTCACCCCTTATCGTCTTCAGCTTCTACGACCACTTCAAAGCCGCTCACGTCCTCTCCGGGTGGCGGAAGGAAAATACCCCTTTGATTAAGGTAAATACGTGATGTGAGTATTTGAAATTGCGTTGGGATTCAATAAATACTAATCCACAACTGTAACGTAATTCCATGTAAAGGCCCTTTGAAAATGTATTTGTGCAGGATCAAATCTAGAACTTTCAACGAATGTCGCTTAAAAAAACACAAAAGAATCTGAAATGAATATGCAATTTCTAGAGTTATTCAAATATCAAACATATTGCTTGTTGATAGAATTCACATCAGGTGTCGCTGTTTGGTTTCTGAGGTTTGAAGGGAGAAGGACGTTCAAAAAGAACTCTTTTGTCCTCATCCACGTCGGTCTGTGGCTGGAGGTCCATGTAACCCTCCATGGTATTGTCCAGTGTCTGGACGGTCCAGCTGGACAGGTACAGGACAGGTAACTCCTTGTCCACCCGGGGTGACCGCTCACTGTCTGGGTGACCCGTCGGGTCATAGGTCATGGGATAACAGACCAACAAAACAAACAATATCACAGAGCAGTGTTACCAACAAGAAATGTGGATTAGTGTTCATGTGGGTATTAAGTCTTTGGAACGAAGGACTGGTACAGGACGAATATAATGTAAAGGAAGGACAGATGAATAGAGACCTAAATGATCAACAGACGGTGGAAGCTTCAGCGATGGAACAACATGACCGCGTCAGGGGTTGGGTGATGGAACGGTCACTTGGGGTGGGGATTGTTTCGTGGAGGCTTAAATTGAGAAAAAAAAATCTTGTTTTTTAACTCCAAAAAGTACTAGAATCTGTACTTAACTAAGAAGGTGTTATCCCAAATATAACATTTGTTTACTTGTAACGTTGGGGGAAGGGATAGGGTCGATGACGAGGACCGAGAACGATGTTTGTGTGTTCGGGGTAGATCTCTGGGAGTCGGGGAACGGGGGTTGTGTTTACTCTTGTGAGATAAGAGAGTGTGTGTGTGTGTGTGGGGGGGGGGGGGGGGGGGGGGGGGGTGTTATACCTCGCATTAACCATTTGAAACCTGCCATCAGCAATAAAACTGCAGTCTCAAAAGGAAAACGTCTCCAGACAGCGATATCTGAGTTCCATAATTAAAGCATGAAGGGGAAGTCGCCATTGTTAGCTAGACGCAGACATATTGGTTTTCCTACAAGCCCAAATGAAAACGTCAACATCGCCATCTGCCGTATTGACTGAGTAAATCCACAACAGATAGCAGCACGTCATGGGAAAAAACGAATTATGAAAATGTTTTTCCACCACATTTTCAAACCCGTGTTGCAATTTAACACTGTTTCCAGTGCACCCTGAAACAACTAGAGAACTATCACTTCATGACTTCTCTGTGTTAGTGTGGCAACTGCAAGTTCAATAATCGTGGTTCACAATCAAGACTTGTCGCTCTGCTATAGAGGAAGAACCTGGAAGCGACAAATGTGCCTCTTGTTGGACCTTAAATGTACATATCGTCAATGTTGTACAATTACAGATGGTACCCAATTAACTGAAATATAATATTTAAAAAACTCCACCTCAATCCACCAATAACTTTTCAAACCATTTGTGAATCTAATAAATGCTTTTTATACAATCGAATCATTATTCTTGATCAAAATTATACTTTTTATCATTGTAGCCCTTTTCCGAACCAGATGGCGCGGACTTGTTTGAAACGGGTAGACGCTCCGGGTGGATGAGGTATCACAACTACCAGAGCGAGCGTCGGGTAGCCAGTCAGCTACCCATTCACACACAGGCCATACACTTAACGCTAGCACCCCTTCTATAGCCCTGTTCACCTCACGTTGAACGTCTCACCATGAACCCCGAACAGCGTACAACGGGCAAGCATAGCCATTGAAGAAGTTACTTTAAGAATATAATGAATACTAATATACTTAATAGTATCCCAACGCAAATACATGTTTAATACAACACCATGACTAAAGCTGGCCGAATACGAACGAACATGTACCGAGTCTGCACATGTATCTAAGTGTTTGAACAGTGTCGTGTTAAGGGGATCATTTAAAATATCCGATAACTATTCAAGTATGATTCATATATTATGCATGTTGGTAAGTTAAACCAATGTTACCGCACAAAGTAGGGATTAAACTAAATTTAACCTTGTTTGTATTTGTGGTTAGACAACGTTTGTGTTATGAATTAGGTTTTCGTGTCAGTATTTTACAATACTAGCAGTATAGGTTCAGTTAAATTTTGACTGAATTGTTTTTCTCAACACGGAAGTTATTGAATCATTTCACCTAAAGGTAACAACCACTGAATCATAGATGCCTAGGGGTTACCTGTGAGTTCAAAGAGATTCGCTTGATCTGAATGTATATTGTTATACCAGGTATTGTGTGTCATTATTATATATATTAATTAATTGCAAAACGATATCATTTAATATACGTAGTAAGCACATGTAGATTTACTCCGTGCCAAACTCGACTAATCCTAGCGTTACAAAATGAAATACCACTATCACGTTCACGTTTGTTTAAGACTGTATTACTTATCACCAGTGATTAAGCGTTAAATATAAGTTAAATAACAGTTTAATGCACGTACTATATTCTATAAAATCATCACAATAGGTAGAGCATGATATGATAATTTAAAAGTTTAATATGGGGATAGTGAAGTGACATTTAACAGCATGTTGTTTATTCTCTTATTAGTTAAACTAACACTTTTAAATACATAAAATATTCAACCAAAACACGAATCAATTTGGAGGGACTATATTAAAGCTACGATTGAACCAGAGTGAGGGAGTCGCTTTTGCGTTTGTCATCACTTGAAAATGTGTGTCAAACTGGCCGGCATCGCCTCTAGTCAGCAGAGGAATATTTCCACACCACTCCGAATTGGCTCGACTCCAGGGAGAACGCTACAGGTAAAACTGAAAGGACAGGTATCACAGGTAGGTCGCTCAGGTAGACCAGGTGCGAGATGCTCTAGGTGATGATGGATGGGCCGAAAACATCATCCCCGGGTGTGGAGTATTGTTTAAGCTGCGTGCCAGGTTTTACGAATATTAGCCTGGGGACCTATTGCGATTAATTAGACAGTATTTAGCTCTCGATTTGACTGGTGTTCTCAGTCTCGCATTTTCACTGCAATCTAATCTTCCTTGTATCAGCATCTGGTGACATTCCACTTTGAAACAATAAAAATGATAATCTTAACGATATGTTCTACGTTTGAGAAAATATGAGAATTTTTATGAAACATTTTCCCGAAACAGAAACGGATCCCACAGAGTAAAACCACCGATGACTAATCTGCGGTTGTGTCTAAAATTGAAATACAATTCAATCAAAATTGTTTAATTTAAAAAAATATATATAATTATCGACACATGTAGAGAAAGTGTTGAAATCATATTAAAAAGGTGATGACGTGTGTGTTCTAGAACTGTCTATTCTATTGATAATTCAAATTTTAAGTTTCACAAAACTGAATGATCCAGTCCCCCGAGACGAAAGGATTCTTCAGGTGAAACAAAATGCCAGAACGTTCGTCCGCCGCACAGCGTTCAAACATCCCCCCCCCCCCCCCCCCCTCCCCTTCACTTCACCTGGCCTAAAGGCTACTTGTGTTGACAGTATGGTTGTCTCTTGTCTTGTCACAGTCATTTCTATACGTCCAACATCACCTACAGTTCTTATAGCTCTAACTCGGCTCTCAAACAGCTTCCTTAATAATTATTAGCACATCTGTCGCTTTTAAACAACACATTGGTGATTAAAACCGCACTTAAAGGCAAAATTCCGTGTTAGCTGCCGCCTAGACCCGGTAAACATTACAAGCTGGCTAAGAGCAGTGAGACTGTCCGGGGACATATGTGGTGCAATTCTCTGACTACGGTGGCAGTTGTCAGATTTTCACCTGTGTTCTGTGATATGTTCTTACCTGTGGAGAACTTGCGTATAAAGTCCTCGTTCTCTATAATATAATCCAAGCTGGTTTGAGAACTCATGACTGCCCGTATGCACTGAATAATCACAATTCGAAGTACCACACAGTAAAATCTCCCACACTTTTGTCTTCTAGACTTGTCCAAACTTTTAAACAGTATCCCCAATCCATGATTGTGAAGAAAATCTGAAAGCCATTCGTCGTCGCATTTCAGTTTGCGCTTCAGCGCGATATAGGTTTGAATGCGAGGCGCTCGGTCTAGCGCTAAGGCGGTTTCCACTTCAATGCGTGGATCGTTTGCTCTTACTGCTGCACAGGTCGTCGCTGATTGGTTAAGAGCGTAACCAATCACACGCTTCATCTTACACAAGCCTGGGCCATTGTCGAGATGGTAACTTTCGTCCATTTTGAAAGTTTCATACACCTGAAAATAAAGAAATAAAGATGTGATTAGTGCTTTTAACTTATATGATACGACCGATAATATTCGATAGTATGATTAAGGAACTAAGTATTATAATTTATATTAAACAAAATTTACAAACTAATGTGGGTACAATTTTACCAAACAATGAATGTTGACAAATGCGCGTCAGGTTATAATTGTAATTATAATAACTAATATGTGGTTGGCATTTGAAAGGTTTTCTGCACTTTATTTACTATTTTGTGTTGAAAATACCCAACATACGCCTAGCACGATAAAATTACAATATTTGGAGGATTTCATAATTCTGGGAAAGAGTGGCATGCATATCACATTTCTGGGGGATAAAGAAGCCATGTCACGGCCATGTGAAATAATGAGCAATGGTTTATTATTAGAAACATACCTGTGTTTACAAGTTTAGTTTTCAGTCTAATATATCAGAACTCCCGTGGATATGCATTTGTTGAGTAAACATAATACGAGGGAGGGCACAGATGCGTTTACCGAAGCCATCACGCTCTGTGATTTTCTATCTTGAAATTCCTCGGTTGTGTATTGATATGTAAATTTATTTTTCAAATATTTGACAGACTTGTGTATGAAAGAGCGGAGACATTTTATTACGGTTTTGTCGCTATACGCTTTAAACAAGCTGTTAAAGTAGCCACATGCTCGCTGTGCCTACCAGGTAAAATGAAAATGTTCAATTATCGAAGTTTCGATAATTATACAGTTTTAACCACACACAAAATTAATAAAATATAAAATTGGATTAATACATTAATTTTATTTTTAAATTAAACGTTTTCGTTTTATTTCAGTCAGCGTTACCCTCGTTAACCCGAACATTACTGTACTGAAATCGACGGTATTTACAGAATTCCGGATTATCGAATCTTGGGTAATTAGCAAAATTCCGTTTATTGTATTTAAACATTCAAAACAGTAATCGTTTGTTCTTTTCGTTTTATTGACGAACGGTGTCCTGGTTTGTTGTAGGAATTTCATTTGTTGATTTCCTAATGTCGATGAATCGAGTTGACTAACGTAGGTGATAGTGTATGGTAGTAACCGTGAACATAATGTATGTGATGCTAAAGCTGATATGACCCTGTGTAGGTTGTTGTGTGCATGTACAGGCCACAAGCAGGCCACAATCGGGATGAGACAGAGTGTGAACATGACCATGCAGTACTGCACAACGCCGATGGTTGAGTGAGCCTCTATCAACTCCAGCAATTACACGGAAGTACCTAGTATGTTAGACTAACATCTAGTCTCTGAAATGAACATATCGTACAGAAAAAACAGTTGTTCAGTTATCTTAATAAAAATATAATAAAAGGGAGCCCAGTGACTCTCTTCATTTTCAGATATCCTGATAGTGCAGTAATCTAGACTTGCCAAACATTGTAGACTTGCATGGGCTGTATTTGATATATATTTGTATCAGGGTCTGTAAGACTGACTACTAGTATGTCTGCACTCATTATGCCCTCTCAGGGAATAGTCCCAGTTCCATACGGTAACGAGGCATGAGAGATATTGTAAGAGACGTTTTATCATGTTTGACTTTATTTCCTTTAAACCCCGTTAATCCGTACCGTACATACCCCCGTGAAATCGTCCGGATTAACAATATTCCGGTTTAAGGAATCTTGGGTAAACAGTAATATAAACGTTCCGAACACCGAGTCAGTTTTACGGGATTCCGGACTAACAAGGTTTTACTGTATAGGGAATGGTTTCTTCAGATGATTTTTAATAAGTTGGATCTTTAAATATCATATAGTCCTGCACGATGACCGTGGAATATATTTATTTTATGAAAAAAAGATAATCTAGAAATGCATACAAAAGCAAGTCTAGCCAGCTCAAGCTATCTCTATTCCACAAATCAGCTAGGGAAATTAATTTTATTTTTAGAGTCAAGAAGGATATTGTGTAATATAAGATTTCAGAGACTAAATGTTAGTCTAAATATAATAAAATTCAAAGATATAAAATACTGTCTGCAAGACGTTACTGTATTTGGTAAAGATCTCAAGTGTTTACGTGAAAAAACTATTTAGTTGGTGTTGAAGTATTATGAAGATATTCCTGACTTTACAGCGACAGAACATATGCATCGAGACAACGTGTATGCGGTAGGATAGCTTAGTGGTTAAAGCGTTCTCTCATCACGCCGAAGCCCCGGGTTCGAATCCCCACATGGGTACAATTTGTGAGGCCCATTTCTTGTGTTCTCCACTGTGGTATTGTTGGAACGTTGTTAATCGTAGAATCCAACTCACTCACGGACAATAAGATACGTATCCATTGCTTTTCAGTATATGAAAAGGTTTCATGGCGTTAAAGCATAGGTAGAAATATTGATATTTCTTTACAGAGTATTAGAACGATATGCATGGTATTGAAGTATAGGGAACAGTATATGCATGATGTGACAGTATAAGTGAGTGAGTGACTTTGATTTTACGCCGCTCTTAGCAATATTCCAGCAATATCACAGCGGGGGACACCAGAAATGGGCTTCACACATTGTACCCATGTCGGGAATTGAACCCGGGTCTTTGGCCTGACGAGCGAACGCTTTAACCACTAGGCTACCCGACCGTCCCGTGACAGTGTAAAAATTGTATGCATTGCGTTGCTTTATATCTATATGCATGACGTTAAAGTATGCGAAAGATGTGCATGACGTTAAAGGATAAGCGACAATATCAGCATGACGGTCGATTATGAGATGGACGCACGTCACGTTACGTCACATTACGTGCGCTCGCGGTGTTCGGGTAATCATATCCCTAGGGGCTGGGGGTAGGGTCTCATACAGTCGCAATTTAAAATGTGAGTATACAGTTGGTTGAAAGCGAAGGTTGAAGTCATTCTCACACTGACGGACCAAGTAAAAGCGCAAGTTTTTGTCAACATTCAGTCAAAGGATTATCTGTTGGAAGTTATGTAATATGATATATCAATACAAACACGGTGTCATTGATACTTTTTCGAGTATGAGTGAGTATGGTTTTACGGCGCTTTATACAATATTTACGCATTATCATGGCGCGGAAGCCCAGAAATAGACATTGTACCTGTGTGGAGAATCGAACCCAAGCATCGGTGTGACGGGCGAGCGATTTAAACCGCTAAGCTACCCTACAGCCCCTTATTGTCAAGAACAGTACCTCCTGTTCTTGTCAAACTACGTGACCTGTGAAGATCCGGGGTAGAATAGGTCTTCAGCAACCAATGCCTGCCGTAAAAGGCGACTGTGCTTGTCGTAAAAGGAGACAAACGGGATCGGATGGTCAGGCTCGCTGACTTGATGCATGTCATCGTTTCCCAATTGCGTGGATCGATGCTCATGAGGTCAATCACTGGATTGTCTGGTCCAGACTCGATTATTTACAGACCGCCGTCATAAAGCTGGAATATTGCTGAGTGCAGCGTTAAACAACAAACAAACAAACTACGTCATCTCCATATTAATCCGCTACACTGTACGAGTTCATGCTTATATTACTCAGGAACCGGGGTCAACTGGTCTACCAACCCGTATTGGGCGGTAGGGTCAAGGGGAGATAATCCCATGTCCTTGTATCAAGGGGAGATAATCCCGTGTCCTCATCACTAATCCTTCTCCCTAATGAGGATCAATACTCTCTAATTACATGTCCTGGCGGGGACAGCGCCGTGGGGGTCGGGACAGGCTGACCTGGTCACAAAGACCCTCGACGTAGGAGGTCACGATGACTATCTGAATGGACGCGATGATGTTACGTCATGACGCTACCAAGACTCTGCTATCTTCTTACTCGTTGACTTCCACTGACTGATAAACAAAGGGGCGTTACTTCTTGAACCAGAGACAGCATATCGTATGCTTATCAGCTTCACGTAGAGAAAGAAAATTATTAGTAAGTGATTCTGTAAGAAACGACAGTTGTATAGACTTGTTATTATATATTTCCGTAGCTTTTACCTAGTTGCACTTTTAAAATTGAAATATGAAAACGGTTTTTACAGTTTTTGAAATCTTGCGTCATGGGTATGGAACGAATTTCAATTTCTCTTCAAATCTCTTTTCTCTTGATACCTCAATGTATTTGTGCATCGATGATAATGCTGAATATCATAAACAGGCCAGCAATAGTTCTATGCATAACATAGCGCTGTCGACCCAAGCAACTTTCATTCAAGTCTTGAGTCAAGTCTCTTTGCCCGTGATGCTGACTTACATGTAACTGTAAGTACCCTACTAATATTCAGTGATGACCCTAACTAAACAGTGAGTGAGTGAGTTGGGTTTAACGCCGCTTTTAACAGTATTCCAGTTATATCAAGGCGTGTCAGCTTAATGTGGGAGGAAAGCCCGAAATGATGCAGGTCTTAGACGTTTACCACTTCGGTGAAACCCACGAGCACAGGTATGGTTCTGACAAACCTAGAAACAGAAACGGGGCGAACCGGGATTCGAACCCACAATCATAGGTTTCTGGCGTGCCCAAGGGACGCAACTCTGCACAGCGAATCGCGGCGCTTTAGACGACTGGGCCACCCGTGCCCCCTCCTAACTAAACAGAGGCGATGTCTCAGTTTCACAAATGACGTCTGATATAAATGTCAAGAACTAGACTTGAAATGAAACCACGGAACCACGGTGTATTGTCTCTTTGCTGATATTTAATCATTCTCTGAAGCATTGTTTAGAAAACATTATTCGATCAATTTTGCGCCTTTCCAGTTTTGATTAACGCAGCTTTGAACAATAACCTCTTATCTGAAAGGCCGCTTCTTGATAGACCAAGAAACATAGTCAGAGCGAATTTGGGATTCGAAAACCCAATCATCGGTTCCTGTCACGACTAAGGGACACAATTTCCACACTCAACTAATATGCCTGAATATATTGATACACTGTGATGAAATATCTGCGACTTATAAAACTACTGGTGGCACGGAAAGAGGGAGGGAGGTTTCTACTGTCG